TTTTAATTATTGTAAGATTTTTTTGATATTACAATAGTGAGATCTAACGGGAAATTGTGCATAATTTTTTTAAGCCTGGGAAAAAAAAACCTTAATGGTCCAAAAAAAATCGGCTATAGTTTTTGTATTTGTTTTCCCTTTTGATTCTGGAGTGAAACACAAATAAGACATTTTTTTCATGAGATTGACCCAAAAATTATGGTACACCTAATTTGACAGACGAATAGAAAAGGCAAAAGTACAGTAAGCAAGAGAGGATCAAAGAGACAATAAACATTTAGCCACTCAGAAAGAGGAGTGTAAGACAGACGGACAGAAGGCACACTGCTTTAAAAAGCATAATTCAATCACTGCTAATGTCCCAAACACAACAGTAGTGCCAGACACAGAAGCATCCAGACGTTACAGTATCAAAAACCTGTTCAATCAGAAAAGCAATGGGAAGGAAGGCGAGAACTGAAGTCACGTGATCGAAGAGGAGCTCCAGTCCTGCCACCTCACTACAGATGAGGTCAAAGGTCAAAGGTGACAATAACGCAAGAGGATGGTGTTAATGGGAAACAGAGGAACGGTTTATCGACTTAGTGCGCACACACCAAGAAACACAGGAATATGAAGTTTAAATCAAATATGACTAGAAGATAATAGAAAACGCATGAATACAGAGTGTGTTAGTGAATTACAACAGGTTTCTGTTGCCAAAAATGTTCTGAGGGTCCACATACTCCTTCACCGACTTGAGCATGCCGAGCCCCACGCCAGACACGCTCTCTTTCATCCATTCCTTCCGGAGTTTTCCCACTGCGAGAGAGAGAGAGAGAGAGAGAGAGAGAGAGAGAGGGATTGAGCAGACGTGTGCGTGTAAGCGCTGGATGATGGATGTTGTGGGGTGGGCGGCACTGCTGAAACGCTGAGATGTTTTGCATGATGTGATTTATGGAGAGCAGCAGACTATCAAACTCATTATGCTGCCTGCGCTCCCAGCAGAGAGAGAGAAACTCTTCCTCTGTCTGTCTGTCTGTCTGCTTCTCTCGTGTTCAGACTAAACACCACCAAACATACGTCAACGTCAACTACATTATCACACCACTTCACCCAAAAATAATCATTAACACATAAATTAACACCAAACAATGTATCAAAACTACTTGTAAGCACAATTCAAAAAATTATATGGCACTCAATCATAAAATGAAGGAATAAGATGCCAGGGTGTTGCTGTTCTGTGTTGAGCTCATCTAGATGTTTTTAGCATTGCTAGGGTGTTGCTTACTGGCTAAAGTCAAAAAAGCCCACTCTATTGATTACCAACATTAAAACCGATAAGCTGATGATTAATTTCATGTTACGGCCGATAAATGGCTGTAATAAATTAATTAAAAACACTCGAACCGTTTTAAATTCTTTAAGTGAATTTAGGCATCACAATATTATATTTTAGTTTGAAAATGAATATTAATTCCAAGATTTGCTAAAGATTGCATTGAACAGTGTTATTAAATTGTTTATTAAATCATTATTAAATCATCATTAAATTATCATCAAGTCATTATTACTATTGTTGTTGTTATTATTAAATCATTATTGTGAACTTTAAGTGTTAGATGAAGGAAAAAGTCATCTAAATGCAAAAATAGGGAAAATGAACATGAACAATAACCTAATTTCAGCCAATGCAAATACATTTAAATGTCTTATCAGCAGAGATTCACACCTGAAATTATATTAATGGATAATAAAAATAAAACTAATTTCCAACAAGACTATAATATAATATATAATAATATTTCTCCCACATCATTAAAACAATGACATGTCCTTTATGAGTGTTTGGTTATATAATACCACACAACATATTGTTTGTGAAAGAAATTAAATAATTAATTATTAAATCATTATTATTAAACCATTATCGATATTGTTAGTATTGTTACATTATTATATAATTATTGTTGTTGTTTTTTTAAATATGAATTTCATGTCTTAGATGAAGGAAAATGTACTCTCAATGCAAAAATAGGGGAAATTAGCATGATCAATAACTCAATACCAGCCAATACATTAAAAAAAGACATTCCCTAGATGTAATTCATACCTTTACTGTACGTTTCTATAAAACTAAAAATAAATTACATTTAAAAAAAATAAAAAAATAATAAATTAAATTTTTAAAAAAAAGATTACAAAAACATTTATTGGATAATAAAAATTAAACCAATGTCCAAAAAAGAATGTAATTATATAATATAATACTGTTATGATTTCTTTCCCAGATCATTAAAACAACGACATGTCCTTTATGAGTGTTCGGTTAATATAATACCACACAGCATATTGTTTGTGAGACCAGCAGTTTAGGGAACTTTGACGTCCCCGTCTCCTCTCTCTCTCTCTGTGTCACACGCTTAATATGATTGATAAGCGAGCAGACGGCATTTCGTCATAATACTTTACTGTTTGAGAAGGGGGCGGGGTTTAGGGCAAGGGCAGCTCACGATTGGCAACACCTCAACCCAGGACTCTCTCATACATATGCAAATAGGTCTTGCGGTGACAGAGCCAGTCACCTCGCACGAAAAAAACAGACACCAGCCCACCAAACACACAGCAAGCCAATCAGGAGGAGCGCACATCGACCCCTCTTCAAACCCCCAGTGGTGTATTTGTGTCTCTGCTGGGCGACAGACAGAAACAGAAGGAGGCACGACTGCATCATTGCCTCCATCACGGAGATAATTTACACATCTATCATCTCGCCATCAGCCCATATTCCCGCGCTCTCTTTCCATCACTACCCTGCCACTATTCATCTCTCATAACCACTTTCGCACAGCTGAGACATGCAAAAAACTCAAGCCAGAGACAAAAGCATAGGTGTGTGTCCAATATCGGCTGAATGAAGCGGAAGCGGTCTGAGTGTGTTTGAGGCTGATGCACTCGTTTGCCCTATAGCCCCTGCTCTTCACCTGCACAAACACGCGCATGCTGTTCGTACTCCTACGCTGTCCTCAGGCGTGCGTTTACACAGGCTGTGCTCTGAGACTCTGCCATCAGCTCAGAAGAAAGCTTTAAGCATGTCTGCATGGTGCCAAACAAACAAACCCGAAAAACAAAACTCCTGCTGCGAAGTCCAACAAGAATTCATCTAATCCGGGTCACGGCACCAAAAAATAAAACGTCGTACTTTGTAGCAGTCACATTAGTCTAAAACATATACTACTAACTAGGGATGTTGGGCAGAAGAGGTGATTGTTGTTTTTGTGAGCGCTGGAAAGTTTTATTAATTTTAGTGAATCGGTTCATTTGGACAGTTCATTTCACAACTCACAAATGATTCACTGATTCAAATAATTTTTTGATTTTTTTGAGACATGACTTTCATAATATAGGGGGGGCCCTACTTTTTGTACTGAAATAAATGTTTAGTTAGTTCTCTTTGTTAAGGTTGCTAGGTTTGTTTGGACAGTTCAATTCAATGAACTACTTACACAAATGATTCACTGATTTGAATCATTACTTTCAAAATGTTCTCGGAGGCCCTTCTTTTTTGTAATTCATTTTTTTATTAGTTTTATTTGTTAGGTTTGTTTGGTTGTTTAATTTTAATGAACACACAAATGACTGATTTTGTGAGACATCACTTTCAGTTTTAGTAGTGAAATAAATGTTTAGTAAGTTCTGTTTGATAGGGTTGCTAGGTTCATTTGGACAGTTCATTTTAATGAACTTTTTAATTACACTAATGATTCTGTTCTCTTTGCTAAGGTAATGATTTTTTTTTAAAATGTTCTAGAAATGTTCTACTATTTTTTGTAGTGATTTTTTTCTTTTCTTTTTTTTTTTTTTAGTTTGCGAGGTTTGTTTTGTTGGTTAATTTCAATGAACACACAAACGACTCACTGACTCACACACATAAAAAACAAACAATATACTGATTCATTTGATTATTACTTCCAAAATATTATAGGAAGCCCTACTTTTTGTAGTGAAATAAATGTTTAGTAAGTTCAGTTTTTATAAGATTGCTAGGTTTGTAAGGAAAGTTCATTTCATTGAACTGCTTAAAGTAATGATTCAGTGATTCATTTGAGTCATTACTTTTAAAATGTTCTCAGAATCCTTTAATTTTTGTAGTGAAATAAATATTTAGTTAGTTCTGTTTGCTAGGGATAGGTGTTTTAACTAATCCATAGTGTTAAGTATCAATGTCAGCCACCTCCCAAAGTTATACAGTCAGATGACTGACAAATGCTTTGCAAATTGGTTTGACCAAATCATTAAAAAGGAGTCAGTTAAAAAAAAAAAAGACTCATTAATGAATCAGAAATCATTACTTCTTATAATTTCTTTCTTGCTCTCCCTAAAGGCTGTTTGCATGGCCTCTCTTTAACCCTTTATCTTTAACAGAGCAGCAAATCTATTTTAACTGTTTATCAGTTTAATGACGTCCTTTTAAAGTGCAAAGGGCATCTTTTTGTTAGTTTCGTTTGCTTAGATGTTTGTACACATGGCCAACGTGTAACAAAGAAACGGTGTGCGCTTGTGTTTAAAGCGAGTGGAGGTCTGGCAAACGTGCTTGGTTGCATTCACAGCTCTGACCCGCGGTAAACACAGGTTAGTAAACTGTGCCTTTCTCTCCTGCGCCCTCCCACCTCACAAGCCCAGACTACATCTGTTTTTCCAGATACACACACACACACTTCATTTGTCATGCTGTGATTGTGTGTAGACCAAAGGGCCTGTCGGCAGGCAGATAGTACCGCAGTACTGCTATTAATCACAATTACAGAGCACTCCCCCACCACACACACACACACACACACACACCATCAGCATGGCTTTCTTTCTTTCTTTTAGATCACAGTCAGGAAAGTTTATAAATATCAGCTCATCATTTCCTCTCTCATTTTAAAGGTACAGCTCACTTAAAAATTAAAGATCACATGCACGTCATTTAAAAATGACTATTTTTCTTTCTTCTGTGGAATATAAATGATCAATTTAGAATCTGATCTTTTCAGCAAATAGATCTGAATAATTCTTTCACAAATCTGATTGATCCAGTTCACAAGTTTAACTCACTGATTCGATTCGGTTGCAGCACGTGACAGCTCACTGGAGGAGAAGATTGTTAGGTAATAATCTTACATTTCTCACACAAATAATTTTTGATACATTTTTGGAACTTAATGTAAGCCTGAAACTCACATTTTCTAAGTTATTATTCTTCAGAATTTTGTTTTGTGTTCCACAGAAGAAGAAAAAAGTCATTCAGGTTTTTGGAACAACATAATTGTCAGGAAACAACAACAGATCTGTAATCTTTGAGTGAACTCTGCCTTTAACCGTCCAGAATATAGCACTAGTGGTCGACCGATATAGTTTTTTTGACAGCCGATGCCGATATCTTGGAAAGCAGGGTGGCCGATGGCCGATAAAAAGCCGATATAATTGTATTTATTTATTTTAATTAATATTTAAGAAATTTGAAATCGTTTGAAAATGGATTTAAAATTTTTTTTTTTAAATATTCATACTTATACTTTACATGACAAAGTATTTTTCACAAATAAATAAATATTTAATAAAAATATAATTAAAAAGGAAGTAAACTGTAACCAACAGAGTACTCCGTATTCTGGGAAAATTTGATATTTTTTCAAATAAAGCCAAGGTAACACTAATTTTACATACAGCAGACAGTGAAAATGACATGAATATGACAGTGGGCAAATGCATAAAGTGCAGCATAATTTGAAATCACAAATTTAATGTTTAAAGCATTCAATTTGCACGGACCGAAAGTCACGCAGAGAACTGTGACAGATCATGCAGATCACTTCACAAGATCTCATAACTGGATTCGACTAATTTTGCATGGTTTGTGAAATTAAATTTTAATTAGCCATTCAAAGATTTGTTTAAATTATGTAAATGCGTGTTTGCTGAATGCTGACGGCAAACGAGAAAGTATTATAATGTTTGCCTTTCTATTACTAATAATATAAAAGCAATCGTTATAATACTTTTTGTATACATTTTAATTCCTTTGTTTAACCGTTCTATCTGATTATTAGACAGACTTCTATCCCTATTAGACAGAACTGTTAACGACGACGGTGAACAAGAGGGAGAATGTGAGCACTGTGTGCTCAGGCGCTGCTGCTCTCAGCGCCGTCAAAATAAAAGTCCCGCCTCGAACACATCGGCCAAACAGAAAAACGTATCGGCCGATGCCGATATTTGAAAAATGCCAAATATCGGCCGATATATCGGCCTTGGCGATATATCGGTCGACCACTATATAGCACTCGACCTCATGTAGGCTACAGTATGTGTGTGTGTGGCTGTGATAAATGAGTGTGGTGATGTTTAGCTAGCAGCAGGTGGATGGTAATGTTGATAAGTCATGTGTTTCAGATCTAATAAACTAGGACAAACCACTGACTCAAACTCTGAAATTCTCTAAAAAAAAAAAAAAAAAGCTGAATTGTCGAGTCTAGACACAGAGCACTCTATATGTTGTGTCCGGTAGAGATCAGAGTGAGGGAATATATTCATTTATTTCAGATGATGTATGGTGAAATTCACCTCCGTGGTGGTGAGACAGACTTCCTCCATTGGCTAGAATCTCCTCCCGGGCTGCATGCTACATAAAAGCAAAAAAATAAACAAATTGTCAATATCTACTAGGGTTGGGAATCGAAAATCAATTCCAATTTCAATTCCACCAATCAATTCCTGTGCGCACATCTTTTTTTAGGTGGCTGTTAAAAATGTATTTGTCTTTTAATCATTCATTCAACAGATTCATTCAAAAACACTGATTCATCCAGTAATGAAACAAGTAAATATTGAGTGAATCATTGAATCGTTCCATTCATAAAATCCATGAGATTTTGTTTAGTTGTCTAATGTTTTTTCTTCAGAACTGTGAGAGAACTACAACCTCCATTTAAAGGAAAAAAAAAAAAGTCTCAATTTATCCAGCTCTATTTTGCACACAAACAGCTCTTAATCAAGTCCAGTTTTTATGTAGCCGGCTGATTTTTGTTCATGGCATTCAGTAGCCATTAAATGTTTTGCAAAAAGAGAGACACAGAATAAATATGTTTGATATCTAAAAGTTTGACTTGATTTTTTTTAACCACACTGAAATCGTTAAGAATCGAAATACATAAGCAGAATCAGAATTGATAAAATACCCAACCCTAATATCAACTTATTTTAAGCCAAAAACAGAACCATTTCTTTGTTTTGAATTTAACAGCAGTCCACTAAACCTACAGTTGAAACAGCACATTGTGATGGCTTTAAAATCGAGAAATACATTCACAGGTAATTATTGAGGAATACTGTGCATGCAATCTTTCTTACTGTACCTACCTCCACTTGTTCATAGACGTGAACCGGATCATTCAGACCCCGGTAATTAAAGGCAAAATAGAAATACACACAAGCACCTGCATCATACGTCTGTGTAACTCTAGAAAGAGGGAGAAAAAAAATAAAGTTACAATGTTTTCAAGTTCTTCTTGGAAGTTCTTACTTAAAGATGCACTCAGCAACTTTTTCCTATATTGACACCTAGTGGTGTGGATGTAGCATCAAGCAACAATATTATTTTTCAGTTCAGTTAGATGCAGAAATGTGCCATTAGCAGTCAGCCATCATTATTATTATTTTTTTTAAATATATCTAATATTTTAAAATATCTATTGTCCTAAAATTTAATTTAACTTTTTATTAAAAATACTGAGTGCACTTTCATGTAATTATGAACAGTACACAAAATCTATGTTGTTGGGTTATTACACAAAAAGCATGCAAAATAAGTTGTACAGTTCATTTTCACTATCATGATACCAATTTACTATAAATTATGGATGGCATATCTATAGTGCATGTATCCGCCACTATGATTTCTTTATTTGACCAAGGAAGTCAAAAAGTCTAGACTCAACTAAAAATCAAAATTGAAATCAAACTAGAAATCACATTTTTGCTCAATTTCTCGTAGTTTTCTATTTTTATGTTGGTACACACACCTCTAACTACTGATCTGCGATAGGATCAGTAGAGTTCGATGTTTCTATAATTAGTTATCTTAATGTTCTTCCTGCTAAATCAGATTTACGGCTTCTGTGGGATCTTTTTTTGCCCCCAGAAAACCTCAAAAAGAAAGGAAGGGACATTGACATGCTTTCTATCCAGGGCCTGCCTTTGTGACCCTTGACTTTGAGACAGTGAAAGTTTAAGGGCCGTGAGTTTGTGTTATCTGGTTTTGCAGAGGTTAAATGGCCACATCAATCATGTAACACACAGCTGGATAGCGAAAGACAGGAAATGAATGACTGAGAAATGCACTTCAGCCTAAATCTCCCTCTCTTTCTGTGTGTGTGACGGCAAAGGTGAGGTCAGAATGAACACAGAGTTCATTAATCAATATATCAAATTGCGTCAAACTACATTTTTACAATTCCCCGAAGTTGCCACCAACATTGCTAGGGTCTTGTGGGTAATTTATTAAGCATAATACTATATGTCAATATTCCAGATGATTGCTAGGTGCTTACTTACGTACAGCAAATCAAAAGTCAGAGAGATAGACGTTTGTGTGTGTGTGTGTCTGTGTGTGTGTCTTTGCGTGTGTGTGTGTGTGTGTGTGTGTGTGTGTGTGTGTCTGTGTGTGGAGGGAACTGTACACCTCTCTCCTTACACTCTCTTACAATCCTCTCCTTCACATTCCTGCACAAGTCCAAAACCCTGAAAGAGAGGCAAAAACGATAAAAAGGCTACTGAATAATGTGTAAAAACTAGACAGAAGTGGCCAAAAATTTACCTACCAATTCACTCCTTACTATTATTCGAAAAATGTTCAAAATAGTGAAATTCTTAAAGTTAAGACTATTAAATAACTAAAATAAATAGCACCAAAAAACCACAGTACAAAACAAAAGAAAACACATATGTAAGACACTCGTATATTTGAGCTTTTTGTCTTGTTTCTTCTCACTCTAAACATTCACTCAACCAACTTCAAGAGATGAGTCTTGGGATGCTTTAAGTTGTAAAGACTTCACACTTGAGTGCTTTAAGTTCACAATCTGTACAGGTTCACATGAAGTCTGAAAGTTTGTGTGTCTTTGTGGGAGGTCAAGGTTTTTCTTTTGACCTGGCATCCTCGAAACAAAGCATCCAAGAGAGTGTGGGCAGCAGTGGGCGACAAACAGAAAGTGCACAGCGATGCAACAGTGATGGCAAAGCATCGCACTGTCTGAGCATTTACCTGTCCCAAGGCACAGACGTCTCAAACGACTCTCCGATCACATAGTAGTCCATTCCCAAATCCTGCACACATATGTTACATTAATGGACAGAACTTAACTCCGTATTTGGGGATTTTAGTTTCTTAATTGTTCACATTGAGAATAAGTATTTTAATGTTCACCAAGGCTGCATTTATTTGATCACAAATACAATAAAACAGTAATATTGTTAATTACTATTACAATTCAAAATAACTGTTTTCTATTTAAATATATTGTAAAAAGTAATTTATTCCTGTGATGCGAAGCTGAATTTTCAGCATCATTACACCAGTCTCAGTGTCACATGATCTTTCAGAAATCATGCTAATATGATGATCTGCTGCTCAAGAAACATTTCTGATGGCAGGTTAATATAAAGTTCAAAGGAGCAGCATTTATTTAAAACAGAAATCATTTGTAACATTATAAATGTCATTACTGTCACTTTTGATTAAGATTAATGTGTTCTTGCTAAATAAAGTGTTAGTTTCTTTCCTAAAAAAAAAAAAAAAAAAAACTTACTGAAACCATGCCATGAAAACATACATTTAGGGTTAGACATAAAAAATAAGTTTAATGAAGGTGCATTTTTGAGTAGTTTGAAGTCTGGTGTAATTAAGCAGAGTAAATCAGTGTGAGGAGCTTCATAACACACCCGCAGATACGCGATGACAAACGTCAGCATGTAA